GTTGCGCATCAACAGCAAGGTGAACAGTGCTGGGTATCCTGGGTAGCTGACAACGCCATCTCGGACCAAAACGGCCAAGCAGTATCTCCAGGAATCAACGTGCGAAGCTCCTCTTGCACTTTATCCATTGCTGCCTTGTCGAACAATCGCTGAGTCTTGTCAACGTTCTCAGCGGCAAATTTCGCCTTGAAATCATCCCAAAGATTCTTGATTTCTTCTCTGAAGCTTTCCTCCTTGAAGAACTTCAAGAAGGATTTTCCTTTCCGAATCATGAAAGGCCTGGTGGACCTCGACGACGCGACTGGCACATCCTCGTATTGTTTCACAACGGGAATCGCACACTGCTTCTCGATCACCTTGTGGATCTTGATAACCTGCACAGGACCAAGAATCCAGCACATGCTAGTGAACTGCTGCACGAAAGAAAGACGAAAACATTCAAGTTCAAGCTGTGAATTTGAACACACAAACATCCTCAGCTCAGGAACGGAAGGATCAGAGGTGGTCGCATAAGAAGACATCTTGCCCTTCTTTGTCAGGCCACCGCCACTGCCGTTGCCTTCGCGATTGGCACGCAACGTCTCGCTCGTCTTGTGAGCCTGTATGGCGGCTTTCATGTCGGTGCCACCTTTCTTTAGTGAACGCATACAAACGTTCACTGCAGCAACTATGCCCTTGGCACAATTGAACCTTTCGTTGATCTCATCCTTGATATTTGCCCCGGCCACATCCAAGTCTTTCACAAGGAATTCGTCCAGCTGCAGAAGGCTTGGCAAATTCACAATTTTCCCCGCAAGGTCTTCCTCGATGAAGCCACACGTCCTCGTGATTCAACCCTTTTGAAAAGGCTACAGCTTCGCACATGGCAACGGGTGACAGTGACAGTGACGACTGAGAACAACCGATAATTTGAAGTAAGTTTCTTGGCCATCTCTCGGATAGCATTTGTCGCAGCGACACCCATGCAATCGTCCATGTCTTTAAGATCCAACTTTGGGGTCGCAACCTTGCCCAAGAAAGCAGCTGCCATCTGTTGCCGAGAGTAAAACTGAAAACAACACTTGTAGAGCGTCTTCTTGTTAGACAGCCCGAAGGGATCGGAACCATCTCGAATGCATTTGTCAATGTCACCTCCTTCTCCAGCAAGTTGCCGAAGACTTCCAAGATCGAAGAATCATTGGCAAACACTTCTTTCGACTCTTCTGCTTGTGAAGTCAGCTTGGTCATGACGGCCTCAATCTTACAAGTGTAGGCCGAGGACTTGGTACGGGCGAGCGCCTGCGCATCTACAATCTTCGGGATCGGTTTCTTGTTGTCCTTCCCGCCACCTCCACCGTTGGAAGTCCTGGTCTTTTTGTTTCCACGACGGGGGTTGCTGCCGGCGGCCGAGACATCGTAAACATCATCCTGACCACAACACGAGAGGATAGGACACATCGCAACCTTATGCAAGCGAACCTGCCGTCCTCAAAAGTCGGCATCAATTCACTCTCCCCTGCCATGAAGTTCCTTGTAGCGGCTGCGTCCTGCAGGTATCCACTTCAGAGCACCCAGCGAATCAGGCAAATGTCGGCCTGAAGCGATTACATTGGGCAGGCCAGGTGAACAGCATAAACATATCATGCTGCAACATATGGGCCTGCGGCGCCAAAGCTGCCGAACAAGACCCATTCTTATAATGTATGTTTACGAAAGGCCTGTGGCGCCAAATCCAAGGCTGCCGAACAAGACCCATTCTTACGCGAGTATACATTGACCAGGCCTGGTCAACATAAAAATTGTCAACAGGACTAGTGTAGCTTCAGAATCTGTGTCCTCCAAAGGCGCTTCGAACCTTTGCTTCATCTCGGCGTTCACCGACTCGCTGGGGTTCTTTGCAGCCTGCTGCTTTTGCAGCATCTTTCCGGATTCTTCCACCAGCTTCCTGTGTTCCAGTTCATCGACTTGAACGTGGACTCGCGTGAACCATTCCATCTTCTTTGTCTGCGGGTTGAAGAGCTCCTTCTGAGATTTTCTGACTGATTGATCCGCCAGGTCCTTATGCCATGCCGCTGCTGCCTGTGTTTCACTGAGAGTGAAGGGCAGCGGTCGGCCCGTGTGGTGCTTCACGTACTCTCCAAACAAAAGAGGTCGATATACTTCATCAGTCTCCTTCACCTTCGACTTTTTGTGGAATTGCACATATTGTGTCGAATCAAAGGTGGATCTGCGCCCTGCATGTGGGCCGCAGGCACGAGCAAAGGAGTTGGACTAACGGCTGCCGCACAGCTGACACTTACAAGCATTTGTCTGTCCTCGTCCCCGGCGCTGATCACGAAAAGTGGCTATCACCCCAATCCACTCCTGCAAGTTCTCTCCACGTAGATCGTTCATCGCCTGCGTTGTCCCCTGATCTCTGCAGACTCCGTCGAATTGCCTTTTCACGTTTGCACACGTGCTGCAAAAGCCACTGGGGGCATGAGCATCCGCGATAGCCTGCTGGTCCACCACTTTCTTGCCTCAGGACAATGGCAGTGCAGTAGCGGCAAACGAGCAACAAGTGACAAGTGTATTGTTACTGTTGGGTGAAAAGACTTAATGACATGTCGAAATCCAACACCTAACTGCCAACGCGTGGCAAAGCAGGCAATTCACTGCTGCAGGACTCAAATTGTCTGACATGGCCGGCGCAGTGAGGTGCTGTCGGGTCTGTCTTTGCTTCTGCCATGATATTCTGCTGCCCCTGAATGCAACTACACTGCAAGGCCGTGCGAAAGCCTGTCCCAGTGCCTGTCGGCTCTGTGTGTAGGTTATGCTTCGAACCGGCACCTTACAGTTAGATTTGCACACAGCTGCCAATGCGTCAGGCGAATAGGCAAACCTCCATCTCGCCCAATATGCAGTCGATGGTTTTCCCAAAATTGCAAGACTTCAGCGGGCATCAAAATCAGACTTCTCGTCTGTGTTCCTGACACACGTCATCGAACCCAGTCCCTCCCTGCACTCACGGAAGTTCCTGGAAGTTCTAAGCGCGACAGCTTTCCGCCGTTTCGCGCGGTTGAAGATTGCTCAGCACATAGCCAACGAAAGAACCAGCGCACGCAATGTGAAAGCCATTCCCGGCCATACGAATCAAGTGGGACACGCCGACTCCTGTCTGGGGATAGCTGGGCAATGGAATGGCAGAGTCAAGAAGCAAAGGAATGTGTTATGACAGTTGCTTCCAACCGGTCCGGAGTTGCAGGGGATGTGAGGGCACGGCAGCCCAGATGCCTCGATAGACTCCTGGGTCGCAAGTTGCAACATCATCGCAATGTTGCCGTCGAATAAAACAAAGCATCATGAACATGATCACATTGATCACAGAAATGTGCAACCAGGATGCCGGGAACATCGGAACACCCTGCGCATTCATAAGCTCTTGCCATAGGAGTTGGCGATGTTTTCGCACAGACCAGATAAAGGATTGTGTCAGCAGGCAAGGGCACAAGTGTCCCCCGTGAGCCTGACAAAATGATAAACAAACGAACATGACCTTCCATGTTGCTAAGCATATGCACACAAGACGTGCGACCAGTCCGGTTTTTTTGCATGGCTCGCGGCGTCTGTCTAGCGGTCAAATCGTTTAATGATATCGCGTAGCTCCTCGCGCCCAAAGATTGCACCGTTGTCCGTGACATAGGTGTCTATACCAAGCATGTCCATATGCTTCAGTTGCAACACGAAGTGCTGGACCTGCTCCTTGGTGTACGGGCCGAAGCCGCCTTGCC